GAGGGGCGGCCATGAGGGGAGAGAGGGCTGAGGGGCGGCCATGAAGGCTGAGAGAAGGCTGAGGGAGGGCTGAGGGGCGGCCGTGAGGGAGAAGGAGGGCAGAGGGGCGGCCGTGAGGGGGAGGGAGGGCTGAGGGAGGGCCATGACGGCTGAGGGAGAGCTGAGGGGCGGCCGTGAGGGCTGAGGGAGGGCTGAGGGAGGGCTGAGGGGCTGCCATGAGGGCTGAGGGAGGGCTGAGGGGCAGCCGTGAGGGAGAAGGAGGGCTGAGGGGCGGCCATGAAGGCTGAGAGAAGGCTGAGGGAGGGCTGAGGGGCGGCCATGAGGGCTGAGGGAGGGCTGAGGGGCAGCCGTGAGGGGCAAGGACGGCTGAGGGGCGGCCATGAAGGCTGAGAGAAGGCTGAGGGAGGGCTGAGGGGCGGCCATAAAAGGGGGGGGGCGTGACATTGGGGGCGGGGCCAGCAAAAGGGCGCGTAAAAAGGGCTGTCCCGTCCCCGTCGCGCATGCGCGGCCCCACCCCGGGGCGGTCGGGCGCGGGAAGTGGCGGCGGGAGCGGCGCGGGGTGAGTGAGGCGCGGAGCGGTGTGGGCGGGCACGGCCGGGGCTTTCTCGGGATTCTCCCGCTGGCAGCCGCCTCCCCCGAGGGCTCTGTACCCTCGGAGGGTCCGCAGGTGGGTGGCTAAAGCGGGGTATGGGCACAGGTCGGCGTGTGGCCCGGTGTGATGGCAGCGGAGGGAAGTTGTGTCCCGTTGTGGGCTCCTCAGTACAGGAGAGCCAAGGAAAGGGACCAGCGGAGCGGATAAGCGTAATGCGGGGTCTGGAGCATYTGTCTGATGAGGAGAGATTGCGGGAGCTGGGCCTGGATAGGCTGGAGAAGAGAAAAGTGCGAGGGGATGTCATTAATGTGTATAAATATCACTACGGGGTGTCAGAGGACAGGCCGGACTCCAGTCAGTGGTGCCCAGCGGCAGGAGGAGGAGCCGTGGCCGTAAAATTAAGCCCAGAAAGTTTTGCTTTAACACCAGGAAGAACTTTTCTGCGTGGAGTGTCGGAGCACTGAGCAGGCTCCCAGGCAGTGCTGGAGCCTCCCTGTGTGAGCCATTCCCAGCCC